TTCCCGTTTGAGTTGTTCGCCGCCCTGAGTCCCTCTAGGGAATAGGGCGGCATATAAATAAAATAAAACTTCAAACTTCAATTATGGCCCCTTTTATTACAACATGTGGACTTCAACTCCCAGAATTCCTGACCCAGCCGTACTGGATCAGGAAGTCTGGGAGTTGAAGTCCACAGGTCCTAAAGGGGCCCTTGATCGCTGATTTACCTGAAGAAGAGAGGGCTGCTTCTCTGTAGCTGAAGCCTTGTCCATCCAAGAATCCAAAGGTTTCAGAGTGGCGGAGGCCTGAGTAACAACAGGAAACTTAGCCGCTAAGGTTGGCCGACTGGCTATGTGCAGCTGTTGTTCCTGCTGCACTATCTGCAGTTTCTTCAACAACTCCTGAGGTGAAATTATGCCAGAATTTCCAGAGTGGTTCCCAGGAAGAGGATGTGACCGCTTAGGAGGCTTGGATTGTTCTTTACCAAGCGCTTGGCCTGGCAGGGAACCATTGAAGTACATCGTGGGTGGCTGTATTGCGCGGTTTACCTGGGCCGCCAAGGAGATGGCTGGAGTCCTGTTGAAGGCTGGGGTAGCTGAATTTGCTAGTCCTATGCTGTTAGCTTCCACTTTAGTCATCTGTTCGGACTGGCCTTGCAACTGCTGGAGCAGGCTCCCTGGCCAAGCGGTATTCTGGGCGGGATGAGAACTCCCGATGCTCTGTGAAGTCACAGGCTGGAAGAGCCCAGTGAAAGCTTCCCCCACGGAAGGGTGGCTGCCATTCTCGCAGAGGCGGTTCTCTGGGAGTTCAGAGACCGGTTGAAGCTCTGGCCCACGCACCATCAGTTTTTGAATGGCCGGGCAGAGCTGCTTTTCTGTGGTGGGCGAGTGTCTTACGGGTTCCTCATACAAGAAAGAGCGTAGGACTCCCTGCCTTGGCGGAAAATTGTCTTGGTGGAGTTTCTGAGATGTCTCGGAGACATTTTGGTACAGATTTGTTTTTTCCTGCTTTCCAAAGAGAGTCATAAGGGACAGGTGCCGAGGCTCAGAATCTGTGTGCTGCAAGAAGAAAGGAAGAATAATTAAGACCAAATCTGATTGACTAGCCGCGTTAGCAACAATCAATAGAAACAAATCCTCACCGGAACTTAGGATGGTGTGTGTGTGAATAGATAGTTGTGAGGGGAAATGGCTCATAGGTTGAAGTTATCCCCTAGTCAAATTGACTTGGTTTGAGCTAGCCATGACTAGATTTTCATTACACAAGGCAGTGAGGTCACATTTTTCTGGTGACCATAAGCTTGATCCTTAGGCACACACTTGCACAGTGATCTTGTGGTGGAATTTCTGGATAGAGCACAGGGGGGAGTGAAGAGGGAGTCCAGCTTGGAATCACTCTGCGGGGGGAAGTAACAGAGGCCAGACCGGTATTCCCAAGAGAATGCAGTTAGTCTGGCAAAATTCTTGCATATAGAGGAATCCCAGTAAAGACGCTTCTTTGGCCTACTCCCAGGTGTTTCTGGTTCCTTGCACCTGACAAGATAGCAAGCAGCCTATATTTTTTCCCCTGTTATGACATCACAATTGTTTCCACCAAGGATGCAGGATCCATGACTCCCTGATAAAAACTAAGCCGCAGAAGCCTCTTAACAGCCCCCCCCCCCCAATTGAATCAAGCTCACAATCTGCCACTGGTTTTATTTTATCAGTCTGAATGTAACTGAAGACATGTGTTGTGGCCCGCTAGCGGATCTGGCAGAAGATTTGGACTGTGAGGAGGTTGGGAAGGAACATGGGCCAGTCTGGAGCCTGGGGAAGGCTCTGAAAAGTGCTTTGCATCAGAGGCAGAGATGGGGCCAAAGCCGTCTGACAGTTATCAGCTGCCTTTGGAGTCAGACATCAGTGGGGCAGAAGAATAGCTGGAGCCTGTTCCCAGTGTGCGCATGCGGAGAGCTGCCAGGAAAAGGGAACATCTAAGGAACAAGGGTCGACTTGGGAGTAAAGCCACAGGTGGATGGTGAATGGCCCTTCCCATAGGGAATAAAGAGGAGTGAAAGGGGAGAGGAGTTTGCAGGAGACAATTAGTTCAATTCATTACGGTGAAGATCTGTTCCTGACTTCTTGCCAAGTATTGTCTGCTGCAGAGTGGAAATTTGGAGGATATCGGCCTGGCAGCTCTCCAAGCCTGACCAAGGTCTGTAGTTGTGAAATCTCATGAAAGACTGTTGGCCGGGACTTTGCTGGAGAGGAATTCACTTTAAACTAAATAAAGGGTTTTTTATCAGGATGAAGAGTTGGCTTCGTGCTTTTTGGGAAGCCTGGGCCAGAATAACATGTCTAAATCTCCCAGAGATGATTCTATACACGCTTATATTAAAACAAACCCCACTGTACTTAAGAAATTAA